GTTCAAGGTCAACATCCGGGGTGACTTTGAAAGCCACACTTGGAAGATGACAGAGCCTCCATCAGCCTGGGGCCCTGAGTGGAACAGAGCTCCCCAGCCCCACCCCGACACACACACATCTTTACCATCCAGACCTGACCCGCCTGAGCAAGAAATAAACCTTTATTGTGGCTGAGCCATCATTCAGCCCATGCGTTAGGGCAGACAGCCTACCCGAGTGCATAATTCCTCCCAAAATGGTCCTGGACCTTTTTTCCTCCCCATAGTACCAACATCTTCTACAGCCCATGTGACTACCACGAGAAGGACACCGTGGCCCCCGAAATCGCTGATTCTAGGCAGACAGCAATGCTTAGGAGGACAATAAGGGTCCTCCCAAGAGGGTTGCTGTTGCTCTAACCTGCTACACATCTGAAGTGCTGTTTCTCTGTGTAGCACCCCATGTCCAGACAGAATCTCTGAGGGTGCAGGCCTAGCCCTGCTGGTTTAAAAAGCCTTCCAGTGGCTTGGCACCTGTAGCTCAGTGAGTAGGGCGCCAGTCACATACACCAAGGTTGCCAGGTTCGAGCCTGACCCGGGCCTGCTAAACCACAATGACAGCTGCAACCAAAGAAGTAGCCGGACGTCATGGCAAGTGCCTATAGTCCCAGCTGCATGAGAGGCTGAGGCAAGAGAATCGCTTCAGCCCAAGAGTTTGAGGTTGCTGTGAGCTGTGGTGACATGGCACTCTACTCAGGGTGACATAGTCAGACTCTGTCTCAAAAAAAAAAAAAAGCCTTCCAGGAGATTCTAATGCACAGCTAGGTTATAAACTACTGCTGCAGCTGGTTAAGAACCCAGGGTATAGAGATCACCTATGTAGGCTCAAACCTTTCTCCCCTTCTTTTTTTTTTTTTTTTTTTTTTTGCAGTTTTTAGCTGGGGCTGGGTTTAAACCCGCCACCTCCGGCATATGGGGCCAGCACCCTGCTCCTTTGAGCCACAGGTGCCACCCCCTTTCTCCCTTTCTTAATAGCTCTGTGACCCGGGCAATTTCCTTCACTTCTTGGTGCCTCAGTTTCCTCACCTATCAAGTGAGAGTAATAATGGCATCTGCCCGTTAGTGCGTTGTGAGGGGTAAATTAGGTGATGCTTGTAAAGTGTTTAGCACAGGCCCGGCAGATCGCTCACGCTCACCGTCATTATGCCCTGGGGACTGGGCATGACATTGACTTTGTAGGGCTCCGTTCAGTCATCCAGAATTCCTTTCAGGTCATCCTCACTTAGAGCCCTGGCTCCCCCAACTTGACACTCCCTTCTTCCTTCCAGTTCTGCTGGAAGCTGCAGGAGGCCACAGGGTTGGGCAGCCTGCTGCCAAAGCCCTGCAGTTACTTATTCCTAATTCTGAATAAAGCATGAGTCAGGGCCCAGAGCTGTAAATCCTCAGAAGAAAGACAGATCCTGGCTTCCCCTCTGGGCGGGAGCCTCCTGCTGGGACCGTCCCAGGCAGCTGAGGCCAGAGGAGTATGATCTGAGTTGCCAGGACAGCCTTCCCTTCCCTGACTCCCAAGTCTGACCTTTGGGTCTCAAAGGGTCTTTGTCCTCTGGGAGAACACAAGGCTTGGAAGAGTCCACACAGCAGGGGGACCTGGGGGTGTTACATAACACAGGCATCGTGTTTATTGAGCACTTACTGTGTGCTGTGCACTGTGCTACTAAGCACTTCCCGTGAGTTACTTTACTTCATCTTCACTTCATGCAAGCTCTACAAGGTGGGCAGTTATTATGCCCATCTTACAGAGGGGGAAACTGAGGCTCACAGAGTTCAGTGCACATCTGGGAAGTACCAGGTGCATCTGATGGTCTAACTCTGAGCGGCTCCAGGCAGCTGGGAGAGGGGAGGGCTGACCGGTGTTTTCCCCTATCCTCAGGCCTGGCCAAGGCTGTCCGGTGTGTTGGAAGGACCACCGTGGGATGGGGGTGGGGAGAGAGCACCCCCACAAGAACCCAGGCCTCATCCTAGTCTCCCGTGAAAACCAGGCCACAAAGGGACCAGGCAGCATGGCATGGCCGCTGTCTGACAAGGTGACACTTGTCCCAGGCTTGATAGTGCTGTTAGGAGCTATCTGGCCACGAGGCTGTACCCTTGGGATCCCAAGTCTTAGCCCAGCTCACGTCCACGACTGAACACCAGCCCTGGAGGGAGGGCATCTTTCTCCTGCTGAGCCTTGGAAACTCATCAGGAGGCCAAGCTGGATTTCAGAGTATGGTCCAACTCATAGAGGCCAGCAAGGTGGTCAGGTCCTGGTTGGCTGTGGTAGGCAGACTAACAGCCTTCCATAGACGTCCTCATCCTTATCCTCAGAACCTGCAAATATGTTACCTTCACAAGGAAGGGGAATTAGGTTGCAGGTGGAATGAACGTAGCCCGTCAGCTGACCTAGAGACGGCAGAGGAACCATCCAGGTGGGCCCAATGTCATCATGAAGGTCTTTGTAAATGTGAGGAAGTAACACAAGAATCAGAGTCAGAGGAAGATTTGAAAATGCTATGCTGCCGGCTGTGAAGATGGAGGAAGAAGCCAGCAGTTAAGGGATACAGGTGGCCCCCAGAAGCTGGAAGAGACAAGGAGACATTGTCCCCTGGAACCTCCAGAAGGAACCAGTCCTTGGAAGACTTGACTTTAGCTCAGTGAAGACCTGTGTCTGACTTCTGACCTCCAGAGATGTAAGGTAGTGAATCTGTGTTGTTTTAAGCCACTAAGTTGATGGTAATTGGTTACAGCAGAAGGGCTGTGCCCTCCACTGTGCGAGCAGGTGGACACCGTGTTCAGACTTCTATGGCTTTTCCTCTGCAGTGGGGTGAGGTTTCTGGCTGGTTGTCCCAGCCACACCCGCCTGGAGTGCAGGAGGCGAACTTGAGAGGCAAGAAGTTTTCAGAGCTTCCTGCTGGGTCCACCCACCGCCCCGTGGCCAGTCTGAGAGCAGCAAGGTGAGGAAAAGCCTGCTTGGAACCTGCTCCCTAGTCTCCCAGTTTTAGGCACTTGCCTTCTAGATAGTCACCTTTCCCACCACAAAGCCTTTTTAAAAAGAGGACTTTCTTAGCATCTTCATTTGTCGCAGCTTCTCTTGGTGGGACCAGTAGGGGGGAACGTCTTTTATCAAAATCTGGGGTGGTGCCTGTGGCTCAAGGAGTAGGGAGTCGGCCCCATATACTGGAGGTGGTGGGTTCAAACCCAGCCCCAGACAAAAACTGCAAAAAAAAATCTGGGCATTGAGAGGGCACAGGGAGTCTGTCTGTTCGGAGAATAGGGAAACTGAGGCAAGGAGGAGGCAGCCTCAGGGGAACATATAACACTTTCTCTAACCACTCAGATGCAGCAGCCCTGGGACCAGCTAGAGTGTATTTCTGTGTCTTGCAGCTTAAGAGAGAATAAAGGGGCTGGGGGAGCACAGGGAGTGGGGCCCTTGTGCTCTGCAGTGATGTCACCTGTGGCTTCTCATGGGCAGGAAGGAGGACTCCACGTACCCCACTTGCCTACCTCCCCAGTGCAGCCTCCAGCCATCGGGGACTCCTGGCCACTGGCTCATCCTGGCAGTCCAGCATTTTTACCTTTTTTTTTTTTTTTTGCAGTTTTTGGCCAAGGCTGGGTTTGAACCCGCCACCTCTGGCATATGGGGCCGGCGCCCTACTCCTTTGAGCCACTGGTGCTGCCCAGTCTGGCATTTTTAACACCAGACTTGCTTTTACGTATCTGTATCATCACAGAGGCCCGTGGCAGCTCTAACTCGGCCTGTGGCCAAGACAAAGCCCATTCAGTTTTACCAAAAATGTGGGCTTGTCGGCCTCAAATTCGTGGGGAGCCAAGCCAGCAAGTGCTTCATCTACAGAAAACTCCTCTCCGTGCTCTTCTAGTTCTGAGGCCAAAGAAAGAAAAAAAAAAAGAGACCTGCATCATCTGTGTCCCTGTTGATTTATTAGCCGGTGATGGAAATACAGCTGGACCCATACAGAACACACGTGTGGCTGACACACATCTTGAGAAAATCAACCCACCCACCATGCACTCCCGCCCCTCTGCACTCAGTGGTTCATTCCCAAAGTTGTCTCATTGTAGCTGTCTTGGCAGATCTAGCCCTGCTCCTCCACTCTGCTGCAGCGTGGAAGGATGTGGAAACGCTGGTCAGTAGAGGGCTTAGACCAATACAGCCAGGGCCTCCCTTCCTGCAGAGAGAGGTTCCAGGGCCAAGGCAGCATCCTTTTCCAGGAGATGGGATCACCATGGTCAGCCCTGTGCATCAGGAGACTTTCCATCCTTTACCCAGTCTTCCAAACAGCCGGCATCCCCTAGATAACTTGCATCTTTAAGAAATTCCAGGAGGACTCTGGATAAAGCTGGATTGCTGAATGTCAGATAGTAGGAAGTCTCTAAGGCTAAGAGACAATAGGTATCTAGAAGCTCCTACCATGTGACAGTGCATGCCAGATGCTGGGCAGGGTTCGACGTCTGGTCAGGAGCTTATCAGTGGGAAGAATGGTCCCACCTCGATCTAAAGGAACCCCAGGGGGGAGGATTTGGGCAGAATCGCTCCTGTCCGGGTGCAGAGTGGTCTGACTTAGCCATTGTTCCTCTGTCGAGCTGGGGGCAGTCAGACCAAAGCAGAATCACAGTCTCTCCTGGGCTTCTAGGCCCCAGTGTGAATTTGCCCCCAGATGGAGGATCTGAGAGTGGAGAGGGGGATGTTTGAGGAAGACCCCACGGGCAATGTTGATCCACATGAGCGACCATAAGATATGAGGTCCTTCCTTTTGGGAGGCCAAGAGGATTCAAGGCAGAGAACCAAATAGATTGTAGGTGAGGTACGGACACTTCCAGGGAAGAGGCTTCTGAGAGGGCTGGTCACACTCAGGGTTCCATCTGGAACCTTGGGGTCTCTTGGTGTTTATTATCCAGGGGCCTATCTTGATCTCCATCACCCGGGCTGATGGCCATGGTGGAGGAGGACGGCCAGGGGCGCTGGCTCAGGGCACCATGTTCCACCACTTGAAGGAGAAGGGCTTCCGGCGCACGTTGGTGCCGCAGTGCACCTCCCCGTGCAGCATGTGGTAGGGAGTGAAGTCATCGATGAAGGTGCAGTGGAGGCCCAGCGGCTCCAGCAGGGACTGCACCTTCTCCTCCAGGCAGCAGCGGCCGTTGATGATGGGCCCGAAGGGCTTGGGGATGCCCAGGTGCTTCCCCAGCACCAGCATGTTCACCTGCAGCCCGAGAGGGAGACAGCACAGCATCAGCGGCCCCCCACCTCTCCTCCACTCTGCCTGGCGGCACCTGAATTTTAGGCACCTCCTGCTGAAAGTGTCGGGCTCTCTTCTATGCACTGGGTGGGGGAACTGGGGCTGGTAAGGACTCTTTAGCCAAGATGGGGGCATCCACAAAGTTCACTATGGCAATGTTGTCTGGTAACTGCCCTCCTCATTGCAGGACTGTGGCAGCTGCCATGTTTCTTCTACAGAATCCCAACCTCCTAGGCCAAAGCTGATTGGACCAGGAACTGACACTGACCTAAGGAGGGCCAATGAGATTCCCTCTCCCAGGAACTTAACAGTGGGAGAGTCTGGTCAGTCTCCACCTGTCAGTTATCTCTAGCGTGGCCATTGGTGTATTTGTTCCCAAGGACAAAGCAGCAAAGGAAGCTGCTTTGGGAGAGGAAGAGGGAGAGGAAGTGGGAGAAGGGCATGATGAATGGTGTGGACAGAGATAAGAGAGGGTTCTGGGCTCTCCCCGAAGCCCTGCTGCAGCTGTCCCTGCTCCCGGTTTCTGGTGTCCTTATATTAAATCTCCCTCTCGCTGAAGCCAGCCTGGGTGGGCCTCTGTCTCTTGCAAACACAAGAACCTGATCCATTGCTCAAGCTCCTGGGGCACAAACCTAAGTGCAAGACAGCCTGGAACGCACAGGAAGGAAGGGGAGTGACAAGAGGCTTTGCAAATAGAGGGCAAAAGGTTAGCCAGAAAGGGGAAGGAAAAGGGGGAGTAGGGGTGAAGCAACGGTGGTGTGGACAGGCTCCCTGCAAGGGTCTGGCCATGGGCGAGTTGAGGATGGACCAGGGAGGGGACCAGGTGACTCTAGCTGTGCTACCCAAACTGTCTTCTCGGATCCACAGTCCTCTTAGGGTGGAAGTGCTTTTCCCCACCTCCAAACTGCCACATCATTTTATCATACAAAATAGATCATTGGGACATGTCTTCAGAGAAGTGAAGTCTCCCTCTTAACTGATTAGGCTAGAAGTTCCTTGAGAGCAGGAACCATCCTTATCCATTTCTGTATATCCCACAGGACACCCTAAATCACTGGTTCTCAACCTTCCTAATGCCGCAGCCCTTTAATACAGTTCCCGTGGGTCACGACCCACAGGTTGAGGACCACTGCCCTAAATACTTGTGGGATTTGGATGAGCAGCCTCGAGCTTGGGGGAAGGGAGCGGAATGGGTACCTGAGCTCCCAGCTGATGCCATGTGCTTTGAACACCTGACTTCATACAATCCTCTATTCACTCCATGAATGCCAAGTGAGTCCTTTCCCTGATGGCCCTTGAGCCGGGGGTTGGCCGGTGAGCTTTCCACAGGGACAGTGGCGGTCAGCCAGCTGGAAGCCTGTCTTCTGGGCCCGTGGGACCCTGGACTGTCCCTGCCACCCCCACCACATTCTTAGTGACTGTGACCAAATGTCTTGACCCTATGGGGACTGGAGGCTTGGGACCTCATCTGATGGAACCTTAAGTTACAGGGGGTAGCCTTACCAAGTCAGGGAAGAAGGCCATTGCCTTTTTCTGTTCCGTCTTGAAGAGCTGGGGGATGTCAATGATGTCACGCTCTGCCAGGCCCAGCTCCCGCTTCAGCACCTCACGGTTCCAATCGATGCAGCTCTGGGGAGGGGGTGGCAGAGTTGGGGAGATCTTGTCAGTGTGTGTTGGGGGGCCCCAGGAGAGGCAGGATGGCCAAGCATTCTAGGTTGAGAAGAAGCAGGATGGCCAAGCATTCTAGGTCAACTGTCCATACTAGCCTTATCTTTGCTCCCCTTCCAGAAAATATACCTGTCCTGGGTCCCACCTCACAGTGCTATCCCCCCAGTAGGGCTGAGAATGGGAGTGTTCCATCCTTGACCCCTTCTCTAGAGCCCTCATTCCTTAAGAGATCTCATTCTGTCTCACGATTTAAAACAGCATCCATAGGCCAGGCACAGTGGCTCACACCTGTAATCTCAATACTGTGGGAGGACCACTTGAGGCCAAGAGTTTGAGACCAGCCTGAGAAACACAGCAAGACCCCATGGTTACAAAAGCTAAGTTAGCTGGACGTGGTGGTGCGCACCTTGCAGTCCCAGCTACTTGGGAGGCTGAGGTGGGAGTTTTAGGTTGCAGTGAGCTCTGATCGCACCACTGCATTCCAGCCTGCGTGACAGAGCAAGACCCTGTCTGAAAACAAAAATAGAAAACAAAATGACATCTCTACACTGACAGCTCCCAACCTCTTTATAAGGTCTAATCTCTTTCCCGAGCTTAGAATTGTAAGTAGAGCCGCCAACTTTGCATCTTTCTTTAGATGTCTAATAGGCACATCTAATGTGATGTGTCCAAAGATAAATTTTTAATTTCTACTCCCCTAACCTGCTCCTTCCCCATAAATGTAACCACTCTGTTCAGCCAGCCAGGGGGCCACAAGCCCTACCACCATTCTCGATGTCTCCATTCCTCTCTCCAGACCCCAATTCATCGGCAAGTCCCGTGGGTGCTACCTTTAAAATCTGTCCCCAATGTGCCCGTGTCCCACCTGGCCTAGGGCCACCCTCTCCAGCCTGGTTGACCACAGTCACTTCCTCTCGAGTCTCATGTTAATGCCTCTTGAGCACCTTCAACTTGGGAATGCAACTGACCAAGGGTTCTTGCTGCCCAGCTCTGGACACCTCTCACCAGCTGCTCCCAGCAAACGTCTGAGAGTGACAAGCGCCCTAAGGCAGATCGTTTCTGGGGGACAGGGACCTCCTCCCATGGTTGACTTCAGCTTGTGGAATCCCCCACAGCCTTGCTGAACGTTGTTTAGGCTGCAGGGCAGCATGGGACACACCCACTCCCACCTCCTTCTCTCTCTTCACTCAGGGCCCCCAGTCCTCTCTGGCATCCTCCCTATGTCCCTGTGCAGACATCTTCTCAAATTAAATCCTTAAAACTTGAAGCCCCTTCTTAGAGGATCTGGACTCACACAGTGCCTCTGCAGGAAATTCTCTGTGTGCCCTTCTGGACCCCTGTACATTCTCCTGCCTGGGAGGCTGATCCTTTAGAGTCAGGGGCTCTGTGCCCTGTGGCTTCTGGCTGGGCTCAGCCAATAGGGGCACAGGCAGGAGACTGTGGGTGGCAGAGGAGGAGAGTGCGGCTGGGAGTTTGCTCCCCCATCTCCGTCCCTGCCAGGTCACTGGTTGGCTATGAAGGTCACAGTTCATATGGCTGTCTTGCAGCCTCTTATCATAGTGACCTCTCCAGGTTCCAGCAACAGCTCTCTGGAGTGGTCACAGCTCCCCACTCTTCCTCACCTGGGGACAGTGCACACTCCCTCACTGAACCTTTGTAAATATTCTCTTTATAAAACTCTTCTATGGATACCTAGCTTGAGTTGCCATGTGCTTCCTGTGGGGTCTATTGTCACCTGTCACAGCAGCAGGGAGATCTTTAAAGCATAAGTCAGATTGCTCCCCTGCTCAAATCCCACTCAGAGTCACAGCCAAGGTTCTAGCAATGCCCGATAGCCAGGGTCCCCAGGAAACAGGGTGAGCAGCAGGCGAGTGAGCGAAGCTCCCTGTGTATTTACAGGCTCCTCCCATGGCTGGCACCTTGGAACCCCCACCCCAGATTCATGGAAAAACTGTCTTCCATGAAACCCGTCTCCAGTGCCAAAAATGTTGGGGACCGTGGCCCTTCAGGCCTCAAATGATGTCACCTGGCCTCTTCTTACTCCACCTTGGCCTCCTGGCTCAGCCCAGGGCCATGGTCTATGCTGTTCCTTCTGCTAGAATGCTTGTCCTTGCATGCACCTGGCTGTCCCCTCTCTTCTCTGAGGTTAGAGGAGGGGGTTAGAGCCCCTCTGTCTGGGCCTATTTCAATCTGAGCTTTCGTGAAGCCGCAGATTTCTGTCTCCCACAGCAACCCTGTGCCTGCCTACCACCACTCAGCCCACGAGTATACCACAGCCCTGGTACCTGCACAAACTTATTATAGGAGATGAGTCTTTCATTGGAGAGCACCTGGTTGATGGACACAGTCTTGACTCGATTGTCCCCTGCCAAGGAGAGACACAGATAGGAAGGGAAGGGCAGGAACAAGGTCAACCTGCTCTGGGTAGCAGACAGGCAGAGGCCAAGTTCACAGTTGCTGGTCTTGCTGAGTCAGCAACTCTTTGACTGTCCTGGGCCTTGGGTAGGTACTACATGTCAGAGCTCAGCTGATCTCTGTGCAAATTGGGGGTGTAGGAGGCGGGAGGGTCCGGTTGCCACAGTGCAATGAACTTGAGGCCTTTGAGTTCTTTGGCAGTGGTAATGCCTTTAAATGGAAGCTTACCACCACCCGAGAGCACTGGGTGATAAGTCTTCCTCCTTTGCTAGTGGCAGGTTCTAGGGTAGTTGCTCCCTGTCCACCAGGGCCAGCCTTTATCAGTTTATTGAGTAGTGAAGCACCCAGTTGTGGGATTTGAATCATCAGACCCTGCCTTGCCTTCCAGGAGATGACTATATGGCAACAATAGGTTCCCAGAGGCCCAGCTTTCTGGCCTGCCTGATGGGGTGCCCATGGAAATGGGGCTAGACAGGGAAGGGGAGGTTAGAGCTACCGGCTCACGAGCCTCACGCTGCCATTTGGCAGCACTTTCCATGAGCAGACCCTGAGTGCAGAGCTCTGCACTCAGCAGCTCCCTGAACCCTCACTGCAACCCACAGGCGTGCAAGGGATCCCCACTTTGCTGCTGAGGAAACTGAGGCACATAGAGGTCAGATGACTGGCTCAAGGCTCCTTTCCACTAGCTAGGAAAGGGAGGCTCGTGATTCAAATATAAGCCCGGTATTCACAAAGCACGTGAAACCTTGATCACAGGAGAGCTGAAGTCTCCCTGGACCGCCCTTCCCTCCTCCCCCTGCACATCTGCAGGTTCCAATCTCCTCCATCCCAGTGGAAGGCAGACAGTGGGGCTTCAGCCCTGGCTCACTGCATTCTTGCTGAGACCTGCAGGCCAGCAACATCCCCTCTCTGAGGTTCACATTCTTGGCTATTAAAGGGGGCGATGGTCACCCATGGGCTCTAGTGGGGATTAAATAGGATAATGTGTGCCATGCACATGGCATGGACCTGGCACACCTAGGTGCCTAATAAGTGCATGACTTCTGTGTCTGTATGAGGCCACCATCACTGCCTGTGTGTCAGCCACGAAGGATGAGGCAGCTGCTGTGTCCTGGTACCCATGCAGTCCCCCACCCTCCCTCCCAATGGGCAGATTGGCCTTGCTCACTATAAACGTACTTCTCCCCCACCTCTACTGTGCATAATTTGGATTTGGGGGCTTTTAGGGCTCATCTGGGGTTCAAGGGAGTCTAGTGTTCCTAGCAATAGGGTTTGGGAGCAGTAGGGCTGGGGGAGACGGTATCTTTTTCACCCTATTGCTAGTGCTCAGTGTTGTGTTAGAAAAAAGGTAACCCTAGCAAATGGAGTAAGAGACTTGGAAGCTTCTCTGTCCTGCAGACACTTTTCTCTCTAAGAAAGGTCTGGTCCAGGCCACTGTCTGCTTCCTGTGAGGCCCTGGGACCGAGAAAATCTACCACCCTGCAGGCCAAAGTGCCCCTGGGATCAGTGAGAGAGGAAGGATGCTCTGGGATTCACACAGTCTCTGCAAAATGTGAGAACAAGTCTGCCCACAGCCCACGGTCCTGCCAGCTCTCCCTACAGGAATTCCTCCAGTGCAATAAGAAAATGAGGGTCCCAAGACTGGATGCCATGGCTCATGCCTGTAATCCTACCACTCCGGGAGGCCAAGGTAGGTGGATTCCTTGAGGTCAGGAGTTTGAAACCAGCCTGAGCAAGAGCAAGACCCCATCTCTACTAAAAATAGAAAAATTAGCCAGTGTTGTGGAAGGTGCCTATAGTCCTAGCTACTCAGGTGGCCGAGGCAGGAGGATCACTTGAACTGAGGAGTTTGAGGCTGCTGTGAGTGAGGCCGACAGCCTGGTACTATAGCCTGGGCCACACAGAGTGAGACTTGGTATCAAAAAAAAAATTAAAATAAAAAAAGAGAAAATGAGGGTCCCTGTTCAAAAAGCAAAGAAAGAGGTACCATTAAAGGTGCTACACTATAAAGCTGCTGGTTTCTTCCGTGCATGAGCTCACACCCTCTCTCAACCTGTTGTGGTGTTTCTTTCTTCTTATCTGATACGGCACTCTCTCTGGCAAAAGGACAGGGACTCTCATGGGACAGGGCAAACCCTGGAGCACCTGACATGGCACATATGCATAGCCCATGGGGAAAGGGAGGTGGCTGGGACAGAGAGCCAGCCATTGCCCCTTCCCACAGGCACCATACCCTACCCTAAGCCCTAGTGAATGGGTGATCTCCAGGGTGCTGCCACCTCCACGCCTGGAGGTGCTGGGTTCCTGAACAGGGATGGGCAAGAGGATTGCTCCAATCAAGTTACCCACCAAAGGACATCTGACACTGCCCCCCACCCCAAGATGCTGGGGGGCACATGTGTCCAACTCACCTCCACTAGGGACAGAGGGCTGCAGCATTGTTGGAAGGTGACAGAGAGGAGAAAGCCTAGCCCTAGGCTCCAGGGAGCATGGGAATGGGTGACAGAGAAACCACCTCTGGGCGGCAGAGAGACAGGAGGCTCCAGGCCCCAGAAGATGCTCCATGGATTGATCAGATTTCACTTATAAGACTCAGATTATTAAGATTCCATGACAGTGACCATGGAACATTAAATACCAAGTTCCATGGTGTAACTGCACTGGTCACATGCCCAACGTGCCACTATGTCCCCACTCCACTGCCCGCCACTCTGCCTCAGCTCTCCCCAGTGTGGGCAGTGGCGGCTGGTGAAGGTGTACAGGGGCGGAGTAAAGGGTCCTGAATTTGGAGGACCAGGCCTGCTTTAAAATTTGCCATCCCTCTCTCAAGTCATGATATGTCTTAATATGGGTAAGGGGCAGACAGGCGGTAATGAGGGACCCAACGCTATTACCCACCAACAACCCCCTGGAACAGGAGGGCCCCGCCGTGGCCCCACTTCTGCTTTTCCTGGAAGAGCTTGAAGCAGGTCCCAGGGCTGGCCAGGAGCATCCGGAAACCCTGTGTGTAGAGATCAGATCCGATTGAGTTCCCTGCCTTGGAGTGGCCCCATCAAACTCAGCCCGTGCCCCAAATGCCAAGGAAAGCCACACCACCCAAGTCCTTACCTTCCCATCGGGGGCAGGGACAAAGCACAGGAACTCATCCACGTGGCCCACGGCCAACCAGTCCACAAAAAGCTCTACGGGGGGCTGCACCTTCTGGGCATAGAGGAATTCCCGCACAACCTGGGTGACCCTGCGGCCTCTCGACCTGAGGCCCGTGGGATTTAAAAAGAAAAGTTGCTTAACTAAAAAAAAAAAGTTCTAGCAGGGCTGGTGGCGCACCCCTATAATCCTAGTACTCTGAGAGGCCGTGGTGAGAAGATCCCTTGAGCTCAGGAGTTCGAGACCAGCCTGAGCAAGAGTAAAACCCTACCTCTACTAAAAATAGAAAAATTAGCTAGGCATTGTGGCAGGCACTTGTAGTCCCAGCTACTTGGGAGGCCGAGGCAGGATTGCTTGAGCTCAGGAGTTTAAGATCGGCCTGAGCAACAGCCTGACCCTGCCTCTACTAAAATAGAAAAACTAGCTGGGCATTGTGTCAGGCACACGTAGTCCCAGCTACTCAGGAGGCTGAGGCAGGAGGATCACTTGAATTTGCAGTTGCTATGAGCTAGGTTGATGCCAGGGCATTCTAGCCTGGGTGACAGAGTGAGACTCAGTCTCAAAAAAAATAAAGAAAGAAAGAAAGAAAGAAACTAAAAGCAATTCCATGCAGAGAAGGAATGACCAGAGTTCAAGATTTCTGCAATCTCTGATTTTATAAAAAGCAAAAAATATGCATTGCATTTGTAAACAGGAAAGAAAATGAAGATATAGACTTGAAAATTCCATTCAAGGTAAGTTCTGGATGAAGCAGACTCAGGACCGGTCAATCCTACTGGGGCAATGACCCACCAGGTCCTGACACCCAGGAAAATGCTCAGCACCACCCTCACACCCTCCTCTTACATTCTCTAAGAGACCCTTGTGAAAAGGTATCTCATAGCACGGCCCCTACTTCCTCTTTCTGTGGGATCATGTTTTTGAGGGCAGTTAATCCTCTCCAAAGCTTGACTCTGAATTCATTTATTATTTGATCCCAAGTCTGTCCTAACTGCTTTGCTGAACTGGGCTGGCTCAATGCTTTGGTCTATTTTACAGCAAATAACCATGGTGATATAATTCCTTTCCTTTCTATCAGCTCTCCTGAGTCACATGTTGAATAATACATAATTGACTACTTTCTGTGTGTGCTACTATCTCACTTTTCATGTCTTATACCTCCCTTCCGTTCTCTGCAAAGATCTGATATTAGTCATTTACATGGTAGTATAAAAAAGCTTTGCCTAAATGTATTTCTTCCAAGCGAGAGGAGAATGGAAACATTTTCTGCTATTACTATTAACTGATAGACTCTGTTACTAGCTTCATCTATTTATTTCCAGAATCCGAAGACCTGAGTCTAGTCCTAAGTTTGCCTTCTGTGTGACTCACTCACCCTCTCTGTACCCACTTATAAAATGAAAGTGTCAGACTAAATGACCTTAGGTCCCTTCTCTCTCTGCCTTGTCAGACTTCCGAAGGTTAAGTGTGGACAGTGTTTGGTGAGCAGCCCACCACCCTCACCAGGTGTAGGACTACAATTTCATCACTCCTTTCTGGTTTCCTTCTAGAGGTAGGATGGTCCTTCCTCCTCCTCCCGCTGTCCCCCCCTACCTCCTCCTGGGATCTCCACTCCCTATTCCTCTCTCACCCAGGCAGGTTGCCTCCAAAGAGGATCCGCCCCAGGGGGTACTCTTTCCCATTGGCCACCACTGGGGGGCTGACCTCCAGGTTCCCGAAGGAGTCCAGGCCGCTCACAGACCTGTCTCGTGGTTCCCGAGTCACATAACCAAAATCTGGACCCTGGAGAAGGAAACTGTGTCAGGAGGGGTAGAGGGTGCCAGGAAGAGCTGGAACCTGCCTGCTGGGCTCTGAGCTCCTTAAAGACAGGGTGGAAGTTGCCACCCATTCTTCAGATGGAAATATTGAGTCAAAGACAGGGAAGGGGGATCTGACCCTGTTAATATTCAAGCACCCACAGGGGCCAAAGCCAGGGTACATCAGGTCCCCGGGCACTACGGCCTTATCAGTGCAGCGTCATCCCTATGGTCACAGGAAGACAGCAGTGAAGCTTCTGAATACCCCTGCACACCCCATGGGACTTGGAGCCAGGGGCCATGGCCACTCCCTTATGCTGTCCGGCCTTCCTGCCACGCCTAGCCCAAGGGCAAGTATCAGCTCAAGTGGCCCATCCCTGGGGACCAAGTGGGTAGTGATGGCCCTCTGAACCTCAGTCTTTAAATTCTGGAAAGAGGAGCTCTCCCAGGGCCTTCTCTCAGTGGGAACTTAGACAACCTTGAGCCAGGTAAGAGCTCCTAACACCGTCAGTGGGCGGTTAGGAGGCTGTTCTCTATGGCAACAAAGAAGTTGTCGTTCTTTCCTTAAGGGGGTCCTGGTCAGCACCCATTCTTCACTGCCATCCTTTGTATTACCAGTAACACCACAGTGGAGCTATCCTTATATGAGCTCCCTCTGTGCAGGCGCTGTGATAATAAGAAGCTTCACAAACACCTGGGAGGTTGGGGCTAAAATACCAGTTTTACTGATGAGGAAAATCAGAGAGGGAAAGTAACTCTCACAATATCACACAGCATGTAAGTGACAGGGCTTGGTGGTTTGGATACTAACAGTGGCTCTGCTCTGCCTCCCCCATCTCTTAGGCTGTCAGATTGAGTGAATAAAAAATACAAAATGCCCAGTTAAATTTGAATTTCAAGTAAACAACAAATTTTTTTTTGGTCTAATTCTGTCCCGTGTAATATTAGGGCCATATTTATACCAAAATTTACTTGTTGATTATCAGAAATCCAAACTTAACTGGGCATGTCTTGTATTTTATCTGGCAACTCTACTCTCATCCCTAATGAACAAAGTGCCCGGGACTGCCTTCTGAACTCCGCACCCCAGGGTGGACCTGGGGTAAGGCCTCTCAGCTCTCAGGAGTGGGCTGTGGCTGGAGATGACTTACCAGGATTCTTTTGTAAGGGAAGTCCTGCAGTTCCCCATTCCGTGGGGAGTCGAAGACCACCGGGAAGGTCTTGTGTGGTGCCTGAACGTAGCCCAGCTCCATCTCGTCCTGGGAATGAGGAGAGAGACGGCCAGCTGTGGACAGTGGCAGCTTCCCCTGCTGGCTCAGCACTGAGCCCCTGGGGAAGACTGCTCACCTAAGTTCTCTGTCTTAGGCCTGTTTTGGCGATGGACATGGGAAGGACCCAGGTCAGAATGCCTGCTGACTGGAAGAGGGGCTGGAGGCCCAGAGAAGGTGTGCACTTGCCCCGGGTCACACAGTAAGACAGAGGCTAGGAGTGGATGAGAACATGGACATGACCTTGGGGATGTCCCCATGCTGGGCCAGAGCAGGATAGATACAGAGAGGGCCTCAGGATGGCCTGAGTTGGACGCGGTTGGAGGAGGACCTGGGGGGAGGGTAGAGACATGCCTTCTCCTCAGACACAGAAATGTGTCCCCCTCTGGTTCTGGTGGCAAAGATGGCCCAGCACCAATGAACTATATCTCTAAGAGAACCTCTCCACTATGTGCCTGGGCCCGCCCTAAGCGCTTTATAAATATTAACTTCATTAGTCCTCATGTCACACCTGTGCATGGGCACCATAATTACTTCCCCTGATAGATGAAGAAAGTGGGGAACAGAGAGGTCTAGCTATTGATCTAAGGGCTCACAGCTTGTCAATAGCACAGCCAGGATCTAACAGTCCTGCCCCAAGCCCCCTCTCTGGACTAACCTCCAGCCAAAATGAAAGCTCCTTAGCCTGGCATTCAAGGCCTCCTGCCCTAACCCTCACCCTTCCCAGAGCCATTGCCCAGCCAAAGAGAACACACAAGGCTATGTGTCATTCCTCCCACCTCTGGGCCTTTGCATGTGCTGGTCCACCATCCTGTGCAGCGTGGTGGTTGGGAGCTCGAGTCCCAGCACTGCCTTTACTGGCTCTGCGGCCCGGCCCTCCTCCACTGAGAGCTCTTTAATTATGGGAGTATGTGCAGGGTTGTCAAGAAGATGCCATGATGCTACATCTGGCCTGCAGCCAATGCTTAACAAGTGGCAGAAATCAATATGCGCCCACCTGTCAAATCCGGGCCAGCTCAGATCCTGCTGGAGGTCTCCCTGATTACCTAGGAAACGGTGACGCCGCCTCCTCCAAACCCTGCAGGCGGCATGGCGGGCAGCACCACCTCATCCTACATGGTGGGGGTGGAAGTTTGCAGCCAATTCACCACACTGGGGCTTTTCAGCGTCAGCACTACTGACACACTGGGCTGGCCCATTCATTGTTGGGGGCTTTGTCCTATGTGTGGTGGGAGGTTTAGCAGAATCCCGGAACTCTACCCACTAGGGGCCAGTAGCACTACCATCCCCAAGGTGATAACCCCAAATGCCTCCAGGTACTGCCAAATGTCCCCTGCAGGATGACTTGCCTCTAATTAAGAGCCCCTGGTCTTGGCTGTTTAGGGTGGGGAGAGTGTGCCCCACACCTCTGCCACCCCTGCAGGCCCAGTGTCAGTGCCAGGGTCTCCAGAAAGTTCTAGACCAGTGGTTCTCAACCTTTCTAATGCTGCAACCCTTTAATACAGTTCCTGTGGGTTGTGACCCACAGGTTGAGAACCGCTATTCTAGACAGAGGCACTCAGGTCTTGAATCAGAAAGAGCAGTCAGTACCTGGGAGCAGCCTGGCCCTCCTGGATCTCCCTCAGCAGCCCCCCCCCCCCGTTCTGTGAGGGCAGGCCAGCCGCTCCCCCCAGGACGGCATCCTATGGGCCCTACCCAGTGGCCATGGTTACCTGGATCCAGCGGTCGTTGCGGTTCTCGGCCTGTGGGCAGATGGTCAGCTGGCAGCCGGCCTTCCTGGCCAGCTCTGCCACCGCATCCACGAAACACATGTTGTTCCTCACACTGCAGACAAGCCCAGGGGAAGCAGCTTAGGACAGAGTCAGAGCCTGGGAGTCAGAGGGGCCACAAAGGGGAGGCTGCCCACCGCCCTCAGCCTCACCTGCACACATACACCTCCAGGGGCGGCAGGGTGCTGGGCATCATGATCCAGGGTGCCACGCGGAACGTCACAGTGTCAGTGAAGATTGGGGACTGGGAGAAATACTGCAAGGACAAATCAGGAGGAAAGAACACTGGACTCAGAGTCCAGCGGCCAGATAGATATTCCCAGTTCACCAATGGGGTCTCTGAGAAAGCCCCTTGCTTCTCTGCAAGATGGTGATAAACCAATGGGGTGCTCAGGAAGTCTGGGGTCTCCCGCACCAGTGGAATGGCTACCAGAATGGGGCATTTTTTAAACCTTCTCTGCCCCTACCTCATTGGAGTCATCCAGCAGGGTAACATGGAAGGAGACGAGTCCTGTGAAGCCGGCATCAGGGAAGGAAAGGCCTTCCACATAGAAGAGTTCCCGGTCCCCATGGAGGCGGGGCACCTCATACGACACCTTGTCTTGGCCCAGCACGTGCCTGTAGGCCTCGCATGAGTCCTCAGGACCTGGGAGGGGAGGGAAGGAGAGGCTGTGACTCCCAGTGGGCCCTGGGAGCAGGAGGGGCGCAGAAAGAGTCCTGCAGATTCCACAAGAACGGGTGACACCCAGTGTGAGCACAGCTGAGAAGGGGCCTTCTTCTCTAAGATTGGTGTTGGAGTCTTTCTGGAGGGGAATTGGTGCCAGGCAACAAAGTAATGTTTACCCCTCACCCAGCAACCCCATTTGTACCCAGTACAAATTCACATAATGTTCACTGGTTGTTGAGTCATTCAACAAGTATTTACTGTGCACCTCCAAGGTGTGGCTCTGGACTGGAGAAAGCTATGAGCAAGGCCCTTGACAACCACAAGGAACATGGTTCTGGTATAACGTCAGAACACTGCAAAGCTCTGTGCGTTCAGAGAAGCAGATAGTTTCAGCACCACTATGCCTTGGGATATTATGTGGCTGTGGAAGATGCAAGGATGTATGAATATTATTCAATGTAAAAAAACAGGCTGGAAAGCAGATTACACTTTCACAGCTTCAGGACATATAGAATAAAGTCGGGAAGGGCCCAGAACAAATCGTTACCAGAGAACATGTTTTTTTTTGAGACGGAGCCTCAAGCTACCCCCCTGGGTAGAGTGCCATGGCATCACAGCTCATAGCAACCTCCAACTCCTGGGCTCAAGCGAGTCTCCTGCCTC